GTGTGTGTGTGTGTGGAGGACAGTGCCTTTGCTTTACAGTGCATTCTGATCTTAATAAGTTAAAACATTAAGAGCACTATATTTAAATATACTCATTACCAGGTGAATTTTAGTTATTATCATTGTAGCTAGCTTGAGTTGATCAGAAGTTAATATAAATCATAGCTTTCTTTTTGTACCTCCTACCTAACTAGAGTTATCAGGAAAAGTAATATCTTGTTTCAATAATAAGTTGTTTTAGACATTGATGATATTTTCAGTATCTAATTCTCTGGCTTTTCTGTCATTATGATATAGGTTACTTTTACATAGGTGATTATTTTTTCATTCTCGAATGGGCAATTTAATTTCATATGTATGTACAAAGTTCTGCTATGTAAGAACAAAAAAACTTGAAATCAAAGCTGAAACACCTCAGACCATTAGCATCTGACTCTCTATGTGAAATCCGAGAAGTGGCTTATTTCCATTCTTAAGCTTTGGGGCAGGATACTGTTATTTTTTCATTATCGGCAAACAAATAGTCAAATAATTTATAGACTGACTTTTTCAAGCAATTGTTTTAGGAGAGCTGTAATATCTTATAAACAACTACATTAAACTAGAAGTTGTTCTGTTCTTTTGTAGGTGATCAGTGAGAGAGATGTCTTGGGAACACAGCTAGTGAGAAGGAATGATGAATTGGCACTTTTGTATGAAAAACTTCGTATCCAACAGTCCACACTAGCCAGGGGAGAACAGCAATATAAACAAAGGCTAGATGATATTAGGCTGTTGAAATTAGAAATCCGACGTTTACGCAGAGAGAGTGGAAACCTTAGTCGATATGCCTTCAGCATAGATGAAGTACGCCGACAACTGCTTCAAAGTGAAAAAGAACTCCTGAGAGAGCGTATAAAATGTAAAGCATTAGAAGAAGAACTTCAAAACCCATTAAATATACACAGATGGAGGCAGTTAGAGGTGAGAAAAGTTTGTTGTTTTTCACTTGGTAACAGATACAGTGCTATGTTAAAAATAACTAGTACTCGAACTTCCAAAATGTCTTTTATAAAGTATTTGTTATTTATAAAAGTAATAATAAACTGAATATTTACATATGACTCATGCATGCCTGTTATAACCTAATAAAAGCTAAAATAGTCACTATACCTCTAGTAAACTACTCTTAGGAGTATTTCAGGAACTACTGTTATATAGTACTTTGTAAATATTACAATGGTATTTAAGAACGCTTTTGTTTAGTTCTGTGGTAGTATGTAACACACTTGCTAATCTAATAGAGATTGTACATTGTCATCTTCACTGTAATAACGATTTAACTCTAATACATAATTACACAATCACATGTATGTGTGTTATATATAATGTGGCCTTTTTAATAAAGTTAAATTGTTAAGAAAGTAATCAACTTTACACATATATACACAAAAATGAAAAGCTTGGTATATTGTATTAAACAGTCTGGTCAGAAGTAATTACTATTTATTTATTCAGGGCTCTGACCCAGGAAAGTATGAACTCATTCAGAAAATTCAGGCTCTACAAAAACGTTTGATTTCCAAAACTCAGGAAGTAGTAGAAAAAGAAGCTCAACTTCACGAAAAAGACTGTCTTTATCTGGAACTTAAACATGTTCTCTCTCGTCAGCCAGGTCCAGAAATGGTACAACAACTGCGGCAGTGTCATAATCAGTTGAAGGAAAAAAACCGCAAGCTAAAGGTACGTTTCAAAGTATGAAGAAATAGAAGCAAAGAATAAAGTTTAATGTGTTTTCTAACAGACATAATATATATATTGTTATAATAAGGATATATCTAAGGAAGTGAAAAAAAAACAAAAAATACTTTATTCTTCCCTTGAGCAGTGCTCAAATTGAGGAGAATCAGAGAGGATCACCGTTCCATTCCTGTTGTTAAGATGAATATCAATTTCATTCCCCTTGCATTGTTGGAGGGTGTTCGTCTACCTGCTTCCACCCTCCGTGAGTTATGTAAGCCCCAATTTCTGTGACCATTGATTTTGGCAGGCTTTCTAGAGTCATTAGAATCAAGAGTTGATGTCGACTGTCTGCATTCATCCCTATTGTTGTTTGTTTCTTGACTTTCCTCAACTCCTACAGGGGGTCATAGTTCCACCCTTATTCAAGTGTCCTGATCTCCAACATCAGTTTCTCGGTTCATTGGTACCCAGAATAGATTCCTCTCATTTCCATGAGGTTCTTCCACTTGGTCGAAATGCCATCAGCAGCAGTAGTGACTGCCATATTCCTTTGGAGTCTGTGGGGCACTACAGGTCCTTGCATCAGGATTAGTTATTCAATTGCCACCACCATTATTCCCCCCAACCTGTAGCTTTTCTGCCTCCTGAATTCGAATTTAGTAATTTCGTTTCACAGCTATCAGAGACTTGTTGGTCAAGGGGGCAGGGGAGTGAATCATTTCAGTTCTTCCAGAATTTTTTTCCCATTTGGTTGTTGTGTCCAAGAATATGGGAGATTGGCATTTGGTCATCAATCTTTCTCATATAAATCAATTCCTAGATTCTCCAAAGCTCACAATAGAGTCATTCCTCACTCTGCATTGACATTTCTCACTAACACTGTGGATGACCAAGCCCTTCAGATTAGCATTGGCACTATATGTGTTCTGCTGATTCGTACCAACTTTTTCTCAACATCTCCATTTCTTGGGCCTGTGCACACCACATTAAATGGACAACTGGCTACTGCTGGCACCATCTCATCAGTTGGCAGAACGTCACACCCGGATTCTGCCTTCTGAAGTAACCAAGGCTAGATTTCTTATCAGAGCCAAGAAATCTATTCTCACTTCAATAGAATATATTATCCATCTGGGTGTCTTTTTCAATACATACCTCAGACAGGCTCAGCCAACTCTCATCTGGCTCCATGCTATAGAACAGGCAGTCTGACTCTTATTCACATCTGCTTCTCCCACTGTGTAGATGGTTTTTTTCTCTTTTAGGAACATGCACATCACTCAAATCCTTCATTTCTTTGGGACGAGTGCACATGTGATCCACTGAATTTCCCAGTCTCTTTATTCAAAATCAACATCTTTGATCTTGAGTGGTGGTTAGATTGGAACAATACTATAATAGGTGTTCCTCTACCAACATCTTGTCTAGAGATACATTTTTTAATGGATGTCTTGCTTCAGGAATGGGTTGCATATTTCCTATCTCCATGATCAGGAATTCCAGGGCCTATGGACGAACGACGAGGCTTCCCTCCACATCAGTGTTTTAGAACTTCTTGCTGTTCAAAGGGTGATGTCTCAAAGTCTGGAATTATTGAGGGGCAAAGTCATCATGCTTCACTCTGACAATTCTATGGTGGTGTCTTATATTTTCCTTCAAGGGGCACTCGGTCCACGTCTCTTTGTTTTCGAACCTTGGATCTTCTATATTTGGCCCACTTCTATTATATCATCCTACTAGCTGCCATTTTCTGGGGATGTTGAATTTGGTGGTGGATCAATTGTCTTGACCTAACTGGATTCTTCCGAAAGAATGGATGATTCATCAAAGGTTTTTCTGTTGGATATGCTCTTGGTTTGGGACACTGATGATCAATGTGTTTGCCCCTCATTGAAACACTCAACTACAGGCATTTTGGTCTCCAGTACCTCACCTTCAGGCATTGGCAATAGGTGCATTCAGTCAGGACAGGACTGCACATTTGTGCCTACCCACCAATTCCTTTGTTACCCAGAGTCCTACCAATGATTCATTCAATCCCTTGTTGCATTCTGTTGGTAGCACTGGATTGGCCAGCTCATCCCGTTTTCCCACTTTTGTGATACCTTCCGGAGTGCCCAAAGTTGGGGGCCCTCCTACCCAGGACCCTGAATATTTTTTTCCCAGATATTGATGGGAGTGGCACCAGCCTACATGGGAGCCTACTCATAATATAGGATCAGATTTGATGCTCAGCTATTCAGTTGGGTAGAGCATGGCCCTTCCATTTTGATCAATATTGGTTCAGTACATTGTTCATGGAAGAGGGTCTGAACGAAGAGTGGTCCCATCCTAGGTCCTTGGTTAAGCACAGTTTGTTCCATGTCCTCCCCATAATTCTGGGAGCAAATAGAATTTACCTTGCCCACATGTCTGGGTAGTGAGGATAAGTGTTCATAATTCCAGACTGTTTCCTCAGGTTGAGTATAGCATACAGGATCCCATCATCCTGAGTTTGGAGTGTTGGCTTTTGGACTTCTTCAGGTTGAGGAGAGGGTTTTTCTGCTTCAGCATTGCTTGCCTTTTTGCTGTGATACCAGTGGCTCATAATGCATCACTCTATAGCTACAGCTTGGGATCCACTCACAAATATATTGCAGTCCAAATGCCCTAGACACCAATGTGGTATTTAGGAGTCATGTCCCTATAATTCCAACCCCAAGCAGTGTGACCTTAGCTACCTGGTCAGTGGTGATGATGGATCACATCAAATTCCACCCGCAGTGCATGATTTAGGTTCCGGGTGAAGAGCATACCTTTTCTGGATGTAGTGCGGTTCACCCACTAGGGAGTCAATCTAATGAGACACCCATGATCTGTGCAGACTCTTTCTTTATGGATAATTTCCTCACCAGCCCCTCTGCCTTATCAATGTGGGATTCTAGATGTAGTGTGAGAGATAAGAATGTTTTGAAAGTTAGCATTATCTTAAGTTGAAAATGTATTTCCAATAATACTTTCCTCTCCTCACACTCTCCTGCCCTTCCTCCCCACTAAGAGCCAGTGTTAGAGACTACAAATTGGGTCAGCCTCAAAAGAAGTGACAATATTATCTGAGGGAAGTGTTGATATACAGTACCAGAATAGAGGGCGCATTGATGTAGGTGGAGAGTGTCACGAGGCAGAAATTTTCAACGGCCATTATTTCAAGTAAGAGTTGTAGAACCTTGGAAATCTTGATTTAAGCCACAAGTAAACAAAGTTTTCAATTGTAGAATGTAATTTTCTTTTGGAGTCTGTCTTCTGATTCAACAATTTCCAAAATATCCATTACGACATTTTTAAATGTATGAATTCAAAAATGTTCCAACTCTACAAAATTAACAGAATCATGCTTACTTTGTAATTTATGCAAATTCATTTGCATATGTAATTGATTAAACGTTTGACCTACTTATTGAAGATTACCTTTGGAGCAAGTGAGAAGATAAATCACATTTTTTGAACTTACAAGAAGGAATAATTCCTATAAAATACTATATAGAAATTAAAGCAGGACAAGTAAGACAACATTTGGTATTATACATAATCGAATTAGAAGCATTGATTTTTCCATAATTAGCTAGATAGGTTAAAATATAGATGACACCAAAATAATCAGATATGGAACAGCTGTCTTCATTGTTATTATTGAAAAGGGTCTATACTAGGTGGTAAAATGACAAATGACATTAAAAATTTATGTTTAAAAATATTTTACTTTATTTTTCCATAAATATAAGCTTCTTTTAATGAAATTTCAACTGAAATATCCCTGCATAAGAAGTTAATTGAAATTATTTATAGTGACAATTTATTTTTATTACTCCTTTCTGTGGTTGTTTTGATGTATTAAGCTCATTGTGTTAATTCAACATTTATCACTTGATTAGTTTACATAATAATACATATGTTACACATATGTATATAAGATATAGTTCACCTGAGCTGTGTTCTTTAACTATAGGTCTTTAAGGATGGAGGATATGGTAATACTAATGAAAACTTGGTTTGAAAACACAATAATATATTTTTAGTATAATAGTATTACTTGAACCTTAATATCTATGGTTCACTAGTTGTTTACAGTTTAACTAATTTTCTGTCCAACTTGGGAGCTGGAGAGCCTACTTCAGGGGACGTTTTACTTGTCACCCACATTGGTTTATTTTAATAGACCTGCTAGTTACATTTCTTTTTTCTGTGGAGTTACCTTATCACAATTGGCTGCAGACAGTGGAAGATGACATAGATTTAAGACATTAACCTTAGGTTCACATCGTTTTTTCTTGTTGTTTTTAATAAGTGGGACACATGGACAGAGGTTCAATCTGGTGAGTGGTGTATATCCCTATGTTTCGTAGGTCCTACTTCAGATACCTCAAAACTTAAGAAGAAACAAAGCAACTTAACTCCAAGAAGAAAGCTGGATTATATAAAAGGATTATTTGTGGTTGTAATATGATTGGTCCATAGGCTACAGGTAAAGATGACTGCCTCATGGGTACAAGTCAGTCTTGTGGTAGAGCTCTGGATTTCAGAGCTGGCAAGCCAGGTTTTAATCTGTGTGTAATACCACAGAATATTTTCCATGCTTTGAATTTTGGGTGCATTATAAGAATAACAGTCAATCCCTAACCATGGGTGGTAGGGTGCTGCTGACTGGCTGGTCAGTACTTTAAAATTAAGGACAACAGCAGGTGAACCTAGTAAATTTAACATGAATACTAAATACAAATAAAAACAAAATACAGATTGATACATGCCATTCTCTAGGGAAAATAAATTTGTAGAAGACTACAAGTGGCAATAGTTTGATAAAACAGACACAGAGTAGAAGGAGTGGAAAAAAATATTAAAGTCTTAACTGTCAGGAACTAATAATCATTTAATAGGATGTATACATATATTTGTGGCTGTGTTTATCCCATCTTTTAGTAATACAGTTGTATTTGAATAATGCAACTAAGAATTTCATTGCTTAGAAGTCTTTCCACTATTAACTTGTTATAACCATTCAATATTTAGTTTCCAATTGAAGCATCTCTTCAAGAAACATTGGAATTCTTCTAAACTTTAATATTGTTATAATGCACTATTCTTATGTTTTTAGGTGTTATACCTGAGTATTAATGTAACCTCCTTTGTTTTGATAGTTAACAAAGTGAAACACTTACTACTGTGTTAAGTGACCAATTTCTGATTGTTCACATTCTATTTTTCTGTCCTGCAGTAAGAAGTATACCACAATTACTGGGATAGAACTTCATGTGACATTAAAAGGTTATAAACAATTATCCTACAGTAAGAAGTATACCACAATTACTTGGATAGAACTTCAGGTGACATTAAAATATTGTAAATAATTGTCCTGCAGTAAGAAGTATACCACAATTACTTGGATAGAACTTCAGGTGACATTAAAATATTGTAAATAATTGTCCTGCAGTAAGAAGTATACCACAATTACTTGGATAGAACTTCAGGTGACATTAAAATATTGTAAATAATTGTCCTGCAGTAAGAAGTATACCACAATTACTTGAATAGAACTTCATGTGACATTAAAATATTGTAAATAATTGTCCTGCAGTAAAAAGTATACCACAATTACTTGGAAAGAACTTCAGGTGACATTAAAAGATTGTAAATAATTGTCCTGCAGTAAGAAGTATACCACAATTACTTGGATAGAACTTCAGGTGACAAGTATAAAATCTTACTGGAATAAAAATGAATATATATACAGAAAACAATCCTTTTTTTTTTAACATGGAACCAATACTTCTCTGAGGTTATATCATTACAAGGAACCTAAACTTCTGTGAGGTTATATCAGTATAAGAAACCAATACTTCTCTGAGGTTATATCATTATAAGGAACCTAAACTTCTGTGAGGTTATATTAATACAAGGAACCAATACTTCTCTGAGGTTATATCAGTATAAGAAACCAATACTTCTCTGAGGTTTATCAGTATAACAAACCAATACTTCTCTGAGGTTATATCAGTATAAGAAACCAATACTTCTCTGAGGTTATATCAGTATAAGGAACCTAAACATCTCTGGGGTTACATTAGTATAACAAACCAAAGCTTCTCTGAGATTACATTAATATAAGGAACAATACTTCTGTGAGGTTACATTAATATAAGGAATCAATACTTCTGTGAGGTTACATTAATATAAAGAACCAATACTTCTGTGAGGTTACATTAATATATGGAACTAAAACTTATCTGAGGTTACATTAATATAAGGAACTAAATCTTCTCTGAGTTTACATTAATATAAGGAACCAATACTTCTGTGAGGTTACATTAATATAAGGAATCAATACTTCTGTGAGGTTACATTAATATAAGGAATCAATACTTCTGTTAGGTTACATTAATCTATGGAACTAAATCTTCTCTGAGTTTATATTAATATAAGGAACTAAAACTTCTGTGAGGTTACATTAATATAAGGAACTAAATCTTCTCTGAGGTTACATTAGTATAAGGAACCAATACTTCTCTGAGGTTAAATAAGTATAAGGAACTAAATCTTCTCTGAGGTTACATTAGTATAAGGAACCAATACTTCTCTGATGTTACATTAGTATAGGGAACCAAAGCTTCTCTGACGTTAAATCAGTATAGGGAACCAAAGCTTCTCTGACGTTAAATCAGTATAAGGAACCAATACTTTTCTGAGGTTAAATCAGTATAAGGAACTAAAACGCACCTGTGGTTACATGAATATAAGGAACTAAAACTTATCTGATGTTACATTAATATAAGGAACCAATACTTCTGTGAGGTTACATTAATATAAGGAATCAATACTTCTGTGAGGTTACATTAGTATAAGGAACTAAATCTTCTCTGAGGTTATATTAATATAAGTAACCAATACTTCTGTGAGGTTACATTAATATAAGGAACCAATACTTCTGTGAGGTTACATTAATATAAGGAATCAATACTTCTATGAGGTTACATTAATATAAGGAATCAATACTTCTGTGAGGTTACATTAATATAAGGAACTAAATCTTCTCTGAGACTACATTAATATAAGGAACCAAAACTTCTCTGAGGTTAAATCAGTATAAGGAACTAAATCTTCTCTGAGGTTACATTAGTATAAGGAACCAATACTTCTGTGAGGTTACATTAATATAAGGAATCAATACTTCTGTGAGGTTACATTAATATAAGGAACTAAATCTTCTCTGAGGTTACATTAATATAAAGAACCAAAACTTCTCTGAGGTTAAATCAGTATAAGGAACTAAATCTTCTCTGAGGTTACATTAGTATAAGGAACCAATACTTCTCTGAGGTTAAATTAGTATAAGGAACCAAAGCTTCTCTGACGTTAGATCAGTATAAGGAACCAATACTTTTCTGAGGTTAAATCAGTATAAGGAACTTAAACTTATCTGAGGTTACATTAATATAAGGAACCAATACTTCTGTGAGGTTACATTAATATAAGGAATCAATACTTCTGTGAGGTTACATTAATATAAGGAACTAAATCTTCTCTGAGGTTACATTAATATAAGGAACCAATACTTCTGTGAGGTTACATTAATATAAGGAACTAAATCTTCTCTGAGGTTACATTAATATAAGGTATCAATACTTCTCTGAGGTTACATTAATATAAGGAACCAATACTTCTGTGAGGTTACATTAATATAAGAAACCAAAACTTCTCTGAGGTTATATTAATATAAGGAACTAAAACTTCTCTGAGGTTAATGCAGTATAAGGAATCAATACTTCTGTGAGGTTACATTAATATAAGGAACTAAATCTTCTCTGAGGTTACATTAATATAAGAAACCAAAACTTCTCTGAGGTTATATTAATATAAGGAACTAAAACTTCTCTGAGGTTAATGCAGTATAAGGAACCAATACTTCTCTGAGGTTATATTAATATAAGGAACTAAAACTTCTCTGAGGTTAATGCAGTATAAGGAACCAATACTTCTGTGAGGTTATATTGATATGAAATTAATCTATTTCTTCCAGAGTATGGCTTCTGAACTGAACATGTATGAATCAAAAATAGCACAAAACAAGTTAGAAATGGAGAGGTTAACAAAAGAACTTGCAGATATTAAAAAGAAGTATTTCAGCCAGAAGAAGAAGGAACAGCAAACCAGGTATGCAGTGACATCTGAATTACTGATATTATATATTTATGTTCAGTTGGTGAATATTACTTATGGTGTTGAAACAGAGAAAGAATAAATTAGTTTTACCTGTTGCACTAAACAAGGTTCACTTAATGCATCATAAAGTTACCTTTGTTTCATGAATAAAATTTGATTAAACTGATTCACCTTATTTTTTTTTGTATACAAAAGTATGTTTCATCTGTTTTTGGTAGTACTGAAACATGTACGGAGCAAGTTTAGGAATTTAGTTTATACAGAATTTAAAGGGTGTGCATAAAGCTGAGGAAAATACTGTTCATTTGAGCCATTCTGAGATGCCTGTAGGACAGAGTGGCATTGAAAACAGTTTGTAAATTGTTTCAGTACTTGTTGTTCCAGTGTCTTGAAGCCAAGTAAAAGTAACAAGTCTTGTGTTTGTAAAAAAAAATTTCAAGAATCATTATCTTCAAACATTAATCTTCACATTCACCTACGGCACAAAATTGTTCATAATTACTGAACCGGTGTTTGCAGAAAAAATCATGTTTATTTAACACAATGAATTATTTAAATATGTATTCATATACTGCAAAATTAAAGTTCTTACCTGCTAAATAATTTCATGAAACAGTCAGAATGTTTGCTATGCTAAATGAAAAACAAAAAAGTATTGTGTTTGACTGCTGTAGCTTACAGTCTCATAAGTAGAATTATATGGTGATTAGGCTTTATAAGTTGGAATCATTGGTTACTACTAGAATTATATGGTGATTAGGCTTTATAAGTTGGAATAATTGGTCACTACTAGAATTATATGGTGCTTATGTTTTGTAAGTTGGGATTACGGGTTACTAAAACTTATCTGAGGTTACATTAATATAAGGAACCAATACTTCTCTGTATGGTAACTGTATGTTGTAATGTTTATGCTAAGCCTTTGTTGTTTTGTGTAATGGTTTTATTAGCAAAGTTTGCATGATTAAAGTACACGTCTACACTAGTAATACTTTGCAGGAGTGGAAATACAAAATATTATGCTTATTTCTTGTAGAAAATGTTTATATTACAGTTGGATAACCGAAATATAAAAGAAATTGGATAAAACATTATTAATTAAAGAGTTCAAAAATATTCATGTTCAAAGATGTTAGGGTTTCTAGTTATGTAAATTTTTATCTTACAGTTGTGCAAGTCAGGGCTGTAGGAAGAGGTCAGGCCATGAACTGACCACTAGTTCATGCCATGTATAGCTACAACGTATCTATTAAAACTTGCTTCTTTTATTGTATACATTACGCTGTGTGTATGCAATATTTGTACTTAAAATGGCTCAAGATTCAATCTCATAGCATTATATTTTCAAATACTTCTGGGGGAGAATGATTCCTATGGCAATGCAAGTTATACACAAATGTTGACAATTTGTTTTTATTCTCAGGGAAAGAGAAAATAAAGAAGAAAGGCACCATACAGAAATCATTCCAGTACAGGGTGGTGTTCCAAAATATTTGGGAGGAGGTTTTAAAATTCAAACATCTACACACCTGGCTTCCTGAACTGAGTCATCATACCAAAAATTCTTCCAAAAAAGTGTCTTTCCAGAAATGCTAATATTGAGCATTCTTTCAATGACATTATAAAATTCTTTAATTGTAAAATATATACTTGACTTATCTCAGGTGTGATAATACCAGTTATAGATCTTTACATGATAAGGTATCAAATAGTGTAATCTTACTGTTGGAAGATCAGGAGATATGCTTCCTCAAAATATTCAAGTTAAAAGACAACATGTGAAATGTTTATTTATTTAACAAAACACCCAGTGTAATTAATGGTGGTTAGAGGAGTCTTATGTACATGTAATATAACACTGTTGTTCAAAACATCAGTTTTAAAAAGTATTACAATGTTTCTAGAATACACATATTTTATAATGTTTAAAGTGCCTTTTCTTCATGAAAAATACAAAATGTTCTTCTTACATTATAAATATCTGTTAATAAAGTTTCTGAGAAAAATATTTTAATTCTTTTTTAATGTGATAAAACAGTCATTTACAACATTATGTTAGTATATGTATATTATTTTTCTAAGAAGCAAAACCTATCAGTATTATATGTAACATACCTTTTGTTACACAATTAGTTGGAAACTGTTTCCTTCTGTTAATAATTTTTGTATCATAGCTTCATCCCAAACAAATATGTATATATAATTTCCTAATATTTAGTAATTTTGCAAGATAACGGTATAGGTATCACAATGGCATGAGAGTTGTAGCCATAAGACAGTTATTTCTAGATGAAGAATGCTTTAAAAGCGTCATATCTTAATTAAGGCTGTAGATGATGTATACCTTGGGAATATTGACATTTTTTAATGAAGCACTCAAAATACAACATAAAGATTAGATAGCTTCGTATTCTTCCATAGGTATTATTGAGAAACATAGTAAGAAAATATTTTATTAAATCAATTAAGGAAACAAAACACTTTCAAACTGACTTACTCTAAAAAAAAACAACAACAAGTAACAGGTTGAAGGTGAGTGGAGAGAGATAAGGTCACTGCTGACTCTTCATGCAAGTTTCAGATTCAGCAAAAAAATAGAGAAGTGGTATCACTGCTGACTCTTCATGCAAGTTTCAGATTCAGTATAAAGATAGAGAAGTAGGGGTCACTGCTGACTCTTCATGCAACTTTCAAATTCAGTATAAAGATAGAGAAGTAGGGGTCACTGCTGACTCTTCATGTAACTTTCAAATTCAGTATAAAGATAGAGAAGTAGGGGTCACTGCTGACTCTTCATGCAACTTTCAGATTCAGTATAACGATAGAGAAGTAGGGAACTCTGTTGACTCTTCATGCAAGTTTCAGATTCAGCATTGGGCATGACCAAGTTAATTTAATTGTATTTTATTTTTTCACTTTATCTAGATTTTTGAAGCTTTACAGTAAGTACCAGAATTATAGAATGTTTTTAAACATTATTTGAAGTTATTATACCACTAAGGTTTAGTATCATTTACTGTCACAAAGAAAAACCTTATATCCAGTCAACTGAAACATATTTATATATTTATTTTACAGCTGTTGGTTTTCTTGTAATTTACATCTAAATTACAAACAATATGTCATTATGTAGCTTTACTTTTAATATATGTATACTTATTGCATGTTGATCAATACTAATAATTTTCTTAAGCAAGATTGTTTTTCTGGCTTTAAATACACTATGGTTACTTAAGATGTAGCTCTGAACAGAAATTATTAATAGTTGTAATAACTAATCAGCTTTATATTTGTGGTATTTATTTTTTTATTGTCCAGACAGTGAAATATATGGTTAATGTATTGTTACTACACAATGCGTTTATACAGTAAAATGTCAACCTTAATATCAAGTGATTAGAATTATTTTCAACAATTTCTATGATCAGTCAACTTATTCATGTCTTAATACTACTGTAAAATGCTTGGAATAAAGACATATAACCCAGTTTGTATGATAAACTGTATAGTACTGACTACCTATTATGACAGTTACCATTAGAGTTAATGAACTGAAATACCAAAATATATTTTCTTAAAGTAATATTTCAATAAAAAGAGTATACTTATATTTATCAAACATAGTCAAGTAAATAGATAAATGTTTCGTTCACCACTAATAATGGTTAACAAAAATGTAATTTATAAAACAATTTTTAAACTTAAGTAATGATAAATGTTTACACACTTATAAAATGTAGCTACATATATTAATAAACTGGATTTAAACTGATAATCTCATGCCTGAACCAATGTACTGTTTTAAATTACAGGATATCCCATTCAAACCCAATAACATAGGCTTGAAACTGTTTGAATTCAAATGAGATATGATTATTTTGGTAGGCTTGATATAATGAAATTCAAATGGAATCTTCTACATTTGATAGGTTTCTTATATTCTGTATTAATTTAAGTGGGGTGTAATTATTTGGAGGTTTGATGTAACTGGTTTAAATTAAAGTGGGCCGTTTGAAACTTTTTACATTTATCCAAACTCGTGGGAATAAGGTTGGATTAGGTTTAGTTACTGTGAAGACTGGAAAACAAGAACATTTAATTAACTTCGCATGAACGTACAAAAGCAATGTTAAGTAAAGTTTGGTCCAGATATTTTGACTTCAGTAACCTGATTGTTTATTTAGATAGACTTAGTTAGATACATAAGAATTGAAAATGCCTTTTAATCATCATCCTCCAAGAAGAAACTAATAAATATTTCACTATTAAGAACACTTTAAGATACGTTATCAATTTAAATCTTTAATGTAGCTAAAATATTATTTCAAGTACATAATTTTTAAATATAGATAAAGTTTAGTTTATTTTCAAATAACCTACAATTATGGGAAAATATAACCATAAATTAGAGGTAATGATCTTAATTATAAATCAGTATATCATTTTAGTTATGGTGTAAGATTATTAGTAACTGGAAAGATTAAGATTCTCTTAATATAGAACATCAGATAAGTTCAGTTTCTCTTCATAGTTATGTGGTAGGTGTCTACTAAGAAAATAAAATATTCATAAGTTCAATGTTAAAAAAATCAAGTTCTGATTAGATTTTGTAAATTTTAAGCAATGCAAATTAGACAATTAAAACAAGGAGCATAAAAATCTTTTATATGATTTTATATGATATAAACTGTACTAAAGTCACCAAATGGAATATCTTTTATTCACATACATTTCATTGTCCAGGAATGAAACTTTCAGAAGTTCTGATTGTGAAAAGTTAATTTTTTTTCTACATTTAATATTTCTGTAAAAACTTCATAAAAAGATAAGAAGAAACAGAATACACACCATAGTTATACTACCTACAAACTTTTCTGACGAAATATACTTCTAACCAGATATAAAGACCACATTATCACGCTTATGTTTTATATAGCAGTGTTGATTTTACGTAGACTACAGACACTAAAATGGGAAAAAAATAAATGGCAAACACAGGAACACTGCCATTAATCAAAAGTTTCAATTTTCAAGACTTGTCTAAACACAGAAGAATGTTACAAACTACTGCCTGAATTACTGTATTAAACTTTTTGTAAATTGCCATTTGTACACATCTTTAACTTCAATGGTTTCTACAAAAGCATGTCTAATGATTGTGAAGTTATATTCCATTTTAAGTTTCACAAACAGCATTGATTAAGATGTTGGATATCTTTGTTACACTTTAAATTTATTTTTTTTCTTCAATGTTAACTTTGTATATAGTCATAGAATTAACCTAAGTCTCCTAATCCGGGCAAACCTTGTGAGGTTTTTTTTTCTTTTTTTTTGGGGGGGGGGGGGGGTTATAAAAAAATCAACACAGAGTATCATACTGAAGAATCAATGTATTCTAATTTTATAAGTTATATTTCATGACACACAGTATCCAACTGAAGAATCAATGTATTCTAATCTTTATTAAGTTGTATTTCATGACACGAGTATCCAACTGAAGAATCAATGTATTCTAATCTTTACAAGTTGTATTTCATGGATTCTTCAGTTGGATACTCGTGTAATGTATTCTAATCTTTACAAGTTGTATTTCATGACACAGAGTACCCAACTGAAGAATCAATGTATTCTAATCTTTACAAGTTGTATTTTATGACACACAGTATCCAACTGAAGAATCAATGTATTCTAATCTTTACAAGTTGTATTTTATGCGTGTCATGAAATACAACTTGTAAAGATTAGAATACATTGATTCTTCAGTTGGATACTCGTGTAGTATCCAACTGAAGAATCTATGTATTCTAATCTTTACAAGTTGTATTTCATGACACGAGTATCCAACTGAAGAATCAATGTATTCTAATCTTTACAAGTTGTATTTCATGACACGAGTATCCAACTGAAGAATCTATGTATTCTAATCTTTACAAGTTGTATTTCATGACACAGAGTACCCAACTGAAGAATCAATGTATTCTAATCTTTACAAGTTGTATTTTATGACACACAGTATCCAACTGAAGAATCAATGTATTCTAATCTTTACAAGTTGTATTTCATGACAGAGTATCCAACTGAAGAATCAATGTATTCTAATCTTTACAAGTTGTATTTCATGACAGAGTATCCAACTGAAGAATCAATGTATTCTAATCTTTACAAGTTGTATTTCATGACACAGAGTATCGAACTAAAAATCAGTTTCCTTTGTTGCCAGTGTGTAATACGTTCTTAAGTCTCTTTACATAACAAACAAATCAATGAAAAACTGTTTTACAAACTATAAGTGTTCCCTTTAATAGACTATTACATCATTACTGACACATGATTCAGAAACTACTACATATCATTATGCTGGACCTTGAACTACCCCTACTAATGCAGGACGTATTGTTCTCTCATGCAGTTTGTAACCAATTTTGGTTACGATGAATACAGTTCCAGGCTCTTTTGAAGGGTCATGTTGTTGGAACAGTGCTTCGTGTTGGTTTGGGTTAAACTTTTGCCCCTGTGGATTAATTTGATTAAGACCGTGTCTCTTGAAGACACTTTGTAGTTGGGCTTCTGTCATTTTCAGTCCTTCATACAAACTTTTTAGGTTAGGATTTTCATTGGTTAAGGAATCTTGGGGAACACTTTCTACTGCTTTACTTAAAACATCAGCCACATCCAGTAAATCTTTACAGAAGTTCTGTATACCAAACTGTTTGGCCTCATCTATCTGTTTTCTCATCCTCTGCCTTACATTTTCATTTTCTGCTAAGGCCCTTTTGTATTTATCCTACAAGTAACACAGAAAAAATATAACACATTTTACAGACAAAACATTACTTAATAGTGTAGTTTGTATAATTAAATGTATGAACTAAGCCAAAAGAGACTGCAGTAAGAAAGCATACCTTTCTCCATTATACTAGTGGAGCTAATGAAATATAGTGGTGATAAGAAGTACAGTTTCAGATACTGACCTCATTACTAAATATATACATAATTATTTCTATAACTTCTTTAAAACTAATTTGTTAATTACAAATTTAGTTAAAAGTTTTGAATGTAAGGTAAACAATTTTTGGTAAGTATACAATTTAGATAAAATTAAATTGTGAACACGTTCTTAAATGTAAAATTTTGATACAAAATATTTCAAATACTGGAACCTCACAAAGGTTTTACAAAGCTTCACAATGGACAGCCAAAGGTTTTAGAAAGTCTGATAAAAGACGCTTTGCAAATCCATTTAACAAAGTTTAGAATTTTATTGGATAGTCAACATGGTTTCAATAAGGGAAAATTTTCTGACACTCTTTGAAAAGGTTACTGCCTATGTAGATGAGGGTAAGGGTGTAGATTTGATGTACCTGGATTTTCAGACAGCATTTGAAAAGGTGCCACATAAAAGGCTTGTAAAAAACATTCTCTATAGGTGTGGGTGATAAGTTAGTAAATTGGATAGAAGAGTGTCCGGATAGAAGCAGTGGGTTGTTATAAATGGAGTTCAGTCAAACTGGATTAATGTTACAAGTAGGATACTTCAGGGCTCAGTTTAATTTATCCAATTCTTTTACTTTAACACTGCCTGTATTTGCAAATTGGGTTGCAAAATAGGTTTTTTCAGTTTTCTTTTTTGAACAATATCAAAATATGACAATTTAGCTTATTTTTCGCTTCAGTGGACCTCTGGTTGCTCCTTATCAATGAATCAAAATTGCTGACAAATGCTTCAATAGCAATAAAAAAATCGTAAATCTACTTCAAAATGGAACCTTCATTTTGGAAATATAAAAAGCCTAAATTTTCAAAATACTTAGCATGCTCTCATTGTGGTTCAATTGTGATGGATCCTCAATTTCTGTTAAATTGAGTCAGAGACATGGGGGAGGGGAGCAGCCAAAATGTGTACTGGCAAGTACATCATAAAATAATGCACATGACGTCAAATGTTTTCAGAACAGATACCTCTTAGACGAGAAATTCACCAAGTCGAAAATCATGTGAAAGTGAATTTTAATACTACTAACCCGATGACTACCGGCTACTAACTTTCTTAGTAGGCAATGCAAGTCTTGCTATATTTGATTCCAACAATAAAACTAGTGGACGAATATTTTCGAAAATTCATAAATACTTTGACAAATGTAGGTAGTTTACGAAACATAAAGCCTATTACTTTTAATAAATTTAGTTTTTTTGCATTATGATCTTTAATATCTTGGATAATCACATTAGGAAATTGTATTTATAAGAAATGATTACAATATTTATATTTGCTACAGATTTGAACTTATTACTTTTAATGTTTTAGTACTATTATTTTGAAATCCCCAAGTAAATTTTATCCTCCATAAAATGCTAAATTTATCTATTTTTAA